CGGGACCCGGGCGGCCCGGCTGGTAGCCTAGGAAATAGCATACAAAATAACAAACGAAAAAGCTTATTTTGGCTGGTTGCTTTTTTTTTTCGTTTTTAATTTAAAAAAATATATTATTCGAGAAAAAAAAAAATTGAAAAAAATGTGGGGGGTTACCCTCCGATGACCCCCACCCTCCTATAAAAAAAACATTATGGACACCATTGTAACTGTATCTTTCTTCTTATGGTTCGCCCTTTCCGCCCTTTGTCTCTTTTCTTTTGCTATGTTTTGGTAGCCGCGGCCTGCATAGTCGGATCGATGCGTGGAAAGTGGCTACTTCCCCCACGCCACGATCTGGCCATGCAGACGTAGGAAATCCCTCCCCCTTCTCTCCCTCTAAGTCCTTGTAATTTTGTGTTCTTCGCGCAGGCATGCACGCTATAAATTTTGGTTGCTCGATTAGTTAGCTCTCTTAACCAGTTGTTGGAAGCTCGGGGTTGCGCGATCAGGAAGGGTCGGCACACGAGCGAAGTAAGAGGTGAGTAGAGTAGGAGTCGGGCGACCCGACGAGCAGGTGCCAAACGCGCGGGATTGACGTGGGCCACGACGGACTGTGGGCACAGGCGAATCTGACGGGTGCAGGAGGACTAAGCGGGGTGACGACTTCAAGGGTTGGTGCGTGACGATGGACTGTCCACATTGGAGAAGAAGAGAGAGGAAGAGGGAGCTGAGGTTGATGGGCACGGATTTGCTGTTTCTTTTATCTTTTCCCCCTCCTTGCCTATGTACATAAATTTTGATTGCGGCTCAGGGCGAGTTGCCCGTTTTCGTTTTTCCTTCTATTTTTTGGAATCTGGACTTGGGTTTTTGCTCGAACTTGTCTTTAAATTGTGATTTCCTCCTCGACTATATTGTGTGTGTGTATTATCGAATGAATGGATGTGATGTCTGTTTGCTGATTCTCACCCCTGCCTTTGTTTTTCGTCTTGATGTACTCGTACGAAGAGTAGGAATTTGGCATAGGTCTCCAATGTTGTTTTCACTATTGTTTTGAGCCGTTGTGGCTGTTGCATCTTGCATACTTTGCGATTTTCGTCTTTGATAGGATGATAGGAGATGGGAATGATGAATGAATGAATGTTGCGCCTGTCTTCTCGCCGATCCTTGCCTCCACCCTTGCTTACTGGGTAGCATAGGAATTTTTATTCTGTTTCCATTTTTCGTTTATCCTTTGATTAAGCCATGGTGATTTCTGCATTGGGCAGTGATTAGGCAGTCGAATGTCTGGCCCAACGAACGCCGCATGAAGACGCGTGTAAGCGTGACCAGATCTGCGCCCTTACACGTATCCCCGAGTATCGATTCGCTAATTGCAGAAGCATGGTCCGATTGAACACGGCAATCCGGGATTCGCGACGAAGCAATCATCTCATGTGAACACGCGTAAGTGAGGCTCGTTCGCGCAGCTTACACGAGTTCCCACGTGGTGATCGCAATCGCTGCGAGCCCACCCTTAGATCCCTTKCTGCTCCAATGACATAATGACAMGCTCTGAAAGCTCGGAGTYGTTGCTATACRACTCGGACTACTTCACCYCCTGGGTAAACGAAATCCTCCGACAGAGATATCCTTGTCTCACTGAGAACCGACTGTGCCCTAGGGAATTTCACTGCGCCACCACTAGYGATCCCCGATGCTCTGATTTCCCTACTCAAGACCATACCCACTACCTCACACACCCCAGATTCGTCGTTATCTCTACGAGCTTCCCTCCTTTTCGCCTTCYCCTTCCGTATCATCGACTCAACGTTGTCCCGTGGCTGGCMATCGCCCCATATWGGCCCAGCACCCCTTGCAGAAACTGYCGGTGACGCAGTGACCAACGGCCCCCAGAATCCCAGAGGCCCAACCCGAACATGCGACGACCAGCGCCACATGGCAACTTCCGACGGCCTGACTCATCGGAACCACACCYACCCCGGAGGGACATCCCCGYGAACCGTCGTCCTCTGCAGCAATGGCTCGCGCGGCCGTAGACGACCTGCGCACATGACCAGAGACGATCCGCCCTCTCCGCCGAATTGCACGGCTGCCYCGAACCCCCCTCCCACTTTCCCAAAAATCCTTGGCAYAGTTTCACCCCTTTTCGCATTTCCAGGCCCACATCTTACTCTGATCAGGAAGTCACGCTGGGCGTGAGGTTGGTATCGGAGCCTGACACGTGGCGGGGTTTTAGGATTAGCAGCAGGATAACTGAGCGATCTGGCTAACCGAGGGCGACCTCGACCCCGGAACGCACATAGAYGCGAMCCCGTCATTACCCGAAGTAGGTCGGCTAATCGACGATCAGCCAACATGAACGTTAATCCGAATCCCCAGCAAAATGCTAATCAACCGAATCCTAATCAACCCCCCCCACGGGCGCGGGCTCCCATGACGCCACCTGACCTCTATCTGTTTGACCCTGCGCATCATCTTGCAGGAGCATGGTTGGTCACGCTTCGAGCATAGTAGTATGACGATAATGAAGCTCAGGTAAATATTCCCGCCCGCTTAGGAGGTGACACCCATCACTAGTTCAACACCTATGTATGGGTAGATCTTCCGACCTTTGGACGAGACTTCCTAAACCGATTTGACTACGTCCATCCGAAGCAAGCGCTCTACATGATCAAGGACCAAGTGCAAAAACCTCTCGAGTCCATCGCGGATTATCGAAACCGATTCTACCGAATGTTCGTGAAACTGAGCAAGGCGAGCAAGGCGGGAGGGATTTGTTTATTAATGGGTTCCGCAGCCGAACGATAAGGGCGAAGCTGCGAAAGCAGTTTTCCCCCATCAATCACACGTTGCAGCAAATCATGGTCGTTGCCG